CCCTGAACTTAGCTGGACAGAAGCTCTGCAAGAAAAGCAGAGGAAACAGGTGCCTTGTCACATGGGACTTTCAGCGAGCTGAGTGCAGCCCTAGAGGAGGAAGTTGCTGTCAAGGGTCAGGGTGCAGCTCCCCCCGTCCCTCCCTCCCTCAGTACCCCCCCATCACTCCCCTTCTCCTCCTGGTCCTCCTGTCCCCTTGCTCTCCCCTCTCGGTCTCTCGAGGTCCCTGCAGGGCTGGGTCCCCTCACCGGCACAGGAGGTTGATTGCAGAAGCCCCTGCCCTCAGCTTCCATACTGCAGCCCCTGCTATCTGGCAGGAACGGTCTGGACCCAGGGACTAGGCATCCCAGGCCAGCAGAGGCTGACAGGAGATGCTAACAGAATGAGCCAGGGAGGAGTCCCTTCATTCTGGGGGACTTGGGACAGCTGGGCACAGAGAGAGGGGTCCGAGGTTAGGTGCTATGGGCTGTCCAGGCCCATGTGAGGCATACGATGGCTCAAAGAGCCCAGAGAGCCAGGAATACTCAGGAAGCTGGGACTCGGGGATCTAGGATTGTCCAAAGGGCTAGAAAGCTAAGACTAGGCTGAAAGAATACAAGCCAGTTTGTATTAGCTACTCTTATTGGTAAGAAACCCAAGTAAGTAGCTTCAACAACAGAGAAGCCCGGAGGAAGTCCTGGCCCAGCATTCCACGATGGTATTGCCAACATTCCCACAGTTACCTAACAGTTTAACGTCGCTGCACCAACTCCAGCCATCACATCTGTGTGCCGTAGCTGGTCAAAGCATGTGTTTGGCTGTCGTTTGAAGCTCTTTCCAGCACTCAGACTCCTCCCCTCCCTCCCCTCTCTGAGTAGGATGGCAGGGCCTCTGCCACTGCTGAGGCTGGTACCTGGCCACACAGATAAGGAGAGGAGCTCTGCCAGGCTCCAGGCGGTGTTGACCATAATGTGGCGGTGGCGGCTGTCCCTTACTTTGGGTTCCAACGAAGAGCAGAGAGGCTGGGAGGAGGAGGGAAGAGCAAAGCGGAAGCAGCTGGAGGGTGGGGCTGGATTTCCCAGATGAGCAAAGGAGTAAAGTCTTGCTTCAGGGACAGCGCCCAGAAGGCGAGAGACTGGGCATGCTGCTGGGCTGGGGAAGGGAGGGCGGGAGGGCCCGCGGTAGGAGAAGAGCCCTCCTCCAGGCTGTCCTCACAGACCCCTTGTCACCAGGTTAGGGGTCCAACCTGGTACCTCCCTGGATGTCCCATGCGTGTGCGCAGGCTAGTGAAAGCCAGGTTCTGACTGGTGGGGCAGGGCTGGGCCTACGTCTCTAGTGAGACCCCAGGGGCTGAAGCCACGTCCAGCATCTGGAGCTCATGGATCAAGTCTGTCCCCTTGGGGCCACTCCTGGTCCCTGCCTGCCGGTTCCTGGATCCAGGGAGGAACCTGCCCCAGCTCTGTGGGTCCTGTCCTGGAAGACCCTCGCTGGTTGCTGACAGCTTTCCTCCCTCCCCGTCCCCGTTTTCCCCCTTCCTGGCCCCTTCTTCCTTCCCCTCCTCCCCTAGAGAACTCCCCTCCCTGGGAAACCCTCAGAGGGCCTGCCCTTTGGGGGCTCAGAAGGACGGCAATGGTGCAGGACTGTGCCCAGGGGCAGAGGCGGCAGAAGGCCTGGGGGCCCCTAAATCCTGCACCGATGCCCTGCTCCCACGGCCGCCCTAGGAGGATGGACTGGGGATGCCAGGCCCCGCAAGGGTAGGCCACGCCCCACACTTCCCCACCCTCTCCCTGCAAACATGAGAATTTCACGTTCAGTCTCTGAAATCCGGCAGGGGTGTAACTGTACACCCAGCTACCCTCATGTCAACCAGCCTTGTTCATGGAGGTGACTTCAAGTCAGCACCCTGCACCCAAGAAGACTTCAAAGCCAAGCAAGCATCTGCCCTCCCTCTTCCGCAGGGAAAGACCTACCCATTTAGGGCTCTCAGCTCAGTTACCTGGCCTGGGGGTGGGGCCCAGCTGAGATGCTCACCTGTGCTCAGGTGTGTTCAGAGGACTTTAATCACCCTGGTGACCCTGTTTGTCCTCAGCCTGTGAGAAGAGGGGTGGCCTGCCTGGGAGAGAGTACGAAGGGCCCAGGTCCAGAGGGGCTGGCCTGACCTGCCCCGGCCCCTCCTCCTGGCCCCTCCAGGCACAACGACCTGCCCTGGCAGCTGCTCAAGAGCTTCAACAATCAGCTCCTGGACACGAGGGCCAACCTGAGCAGCCTAGCCCACACGCACACCAACATCCCCAAGCTGAAGGCCGGCTTTGTGGGGGGCCAGGTACAGTCTGGCCCCGAGCGTGACTACTCTGGAGTCCATCGCCCCTTCCCGTGGCTCTGGGCTAGCGTGCTGCCGCTCCCTGGTGGCAGCGTACCTCCCTGGGCCTTTAGAGGGGATTCCAAGAGCCACTCAGCTGTGCGGAAGGCTTCCAAGACAGAAGGGACACCAGAGGCCCATCTGCGTGTGGGAGGTGGGGCCTGGGGCCTGGCTCCTCAGCTCCCAGCCCCTCCCCTCTGTGGCCCCGCAGTTCTGGTCTGCGTACACACCCTGCGACACCCAGAACAAAGATGCCGTGAAGAGGACGCTGGAGCAGATCGACGTCGTCCACCGCATGTGCCAACTGTACCCTGAGACCTTCGTGTGTGTCACCAACAGCACAGGTGGGTCCCCAGAGCCTGCTGGCGCTACGCTGCCAGTCTCCACGCGCCGGCTCCCCGGACACCCAGGCACCCTCCTTGCAGGCATCCGGCAGGCCTTCCAGGAGGGCAAGGTGGCCAGCTTGGTTGGCGTGGAGGGTGGCCACTCCATTGACAGCAGCCTGGCTGTCCTGCGGGCGCTCTACCATCTGGGCATGCGGTACCTGACCCTCACCCACAGCTGCAACACGCCCTGGTAAGGAGCCCCAGGAGGGCCTCCGGGTGGGCTGGGCCGATGCTGGCCCCGCCCTGCTCTGTCCTGGAGCGGGTGGGCTGGGACGACCACTCCGCCCCTCGCCCCTCAGGCTCCCGCTGTCTGCTCTCCCAGGGCCGACAACTGGCTGGTGGACACGGGGACTGACACGGCCCAGAGCCAAGGCCTGTCATCGTTCGGGCAGGTGAGTTGATGGGACCAGGGTCACCCTCAGATGACAGGACTGGGTTTGTCACCTGAGTTTCCTCAGCTGGCAGACCACTGGAGGGTTTGTTAACACCTGGCCCAGCCCGGGGCCAGCCTCTAGCCTGGACCTCTCAGGGGGCCGTGACAAACCCCAGAAGGCTGTGACCCCGAGTGTGCGCAGCTCAGCCTGTGTGGTCCCAGGGCACCGGCCGTGACCCCTGAGCCCTGTCCCCCTCAGAGTGTCATAAAGGAAATGAACCGGCTGGGCGTCCTCATAGACTTGGCCCATGTGTCCGTGGCCACCATGAAGGCTGCCCTGCAGCTGTCCAAGGCCCCCGTCATCTTCAGCCACTCCTCCGCCTACCAGCTGTGCCAGCACCGGCGCAACGTGCCTGACGACGTGCTCCAGTTGGTGGTGAGGGCGGCGGCGACAGTCTGCCCCCGGGTGGGCCCGGTGCCTCGCTGCTCCCGTCCACAGCCCCCCTCTCCCCCTCCCCCGAGCAGAGGCAGACAGGCAGCCTGGTGATGGTGAATTTCTACAATGACTACGTTTCCTGCAAAGCGGAGGCCAACTTGTCCCAAGTTGCAGGTGGGTGGGCCTGAGCGTCTGCAGTGTGGGTCAGGGGCTTCTTGTGGGACCACATGTGCCACCTCCCCGCAGACCACCTGGACCACATCAAGGCGGTGGCAGGAGCCGGAGCCGTGGGCTTTGGTGGGGACTTTGACGGTGTTTCTAGGTAAGGCGAGACGTGCATCCTGTGATAAATTTGTCAGGAGAGGCTGGAGGAGGGGGCCGTGTTCTGAGGAAAACTGCTCCACCAGATTCTGGGGCTTGGGATGGGGGTGGACAGGCACCCAGGCCCCGACCCCCCCTGGATGCAGAGCTGGGCCCTCTCCACCCTTGCCTCAGGCTCCCCTCAGGGCTGGAGGACGTGTCCAAGTACCCAGACCTGGTCGCAGAGCTGCTCAGGAGGAAGTGGACAGAGGCGGAGGTTAGGGGCGTCCTGGCTGACAACCTGCTGAGAGTCTTTGAGGAAGTGGAGCAGGTGAGGAGGGGCCATCCACCCCCATTACCGCCCCCACCCTGGAGGCAGGCAGCCAACTCATGTCTGTCCCCAGGTGAGCAATCACACACAGGCTCCCGGGGAGGAGGTGATTCCGCTGACCCAGCTGGAGCCTTCCTGCAGGACCCAGTATGGCTACTCCAAGTCCTCTGGGAAACACCTTCAGCCGGGGGCCCTGCTGGCCTCCCTCGTGCCCCTCCTCCTCTGCCAAGGTCTTCTGTGACACCCCGGGGACCTGTCCACTCGGACCCGCCCGTCCCGAGCAGGCGCCTGGGCTCCCCGGGGGCAGCACGAAGCCCAGGCACAGCTGGACGCTCAATAAAGGCACTGGCCTTTTCACTCTTGAGGGCGTGTCCTTGAGGGGCTCCTGGCTGGGCACGCACACACAGGAGTGCCCGAGTCCTGAAGGTCAGGGCCAGAGGGGTCAGGGTCGGGAAAGGGCTTTGCCTGGACATCACAGGAGGGAGGGTCTTGAACAATACAGTCCAGGTCCAGCTGCCACCCTCCCACCTGTACACAGGCACATATACGCACACACACGTGTGCACACCTAGACACCCACATCCTCACACTAATGCACACCCCCTACTCCCCACTGCATGTGCCCACAGCCCAGCTGCTGGCCCAGCCTCTCTTAACAGGAAAGCAAGGTCTGGAGCGAGGGGCTCTCCTGGGCCCAGCCCTGCAAGGCCCCTCACACACCACGAACATGGGCCGGCAGGGCAGAGCTACCCAAGGGGGCCCAGTACCTTCCCCTGGTCAGTCAGTGGGTGTATGGAGATGACAGGACCCCCAACATGTCCCTGCCGGCTCCTTTCCAGACCAGAGGCCCTGAGATCGCCCCTCTGCTTAGCTTTCCTGAGTCCTCTGTGAAGAAGCATGAACCCCCTGGGTGCCTGTCCCTTTGGATGGGACTTCATGGGGTGGGGGGCAGACAACGGAGAGGGCAGGAGAGCCCCCACTGGTGGCCTCGGGGTCGGGGGCCTGTTGTGGGCCCGCCTCTGGCTCCCAGCAGGCACCCTCTCCAGGCAGATCTCAAGTGAGCAGAAGGGACACCTGTGGGCCCTTGGATCAATTTCATGGTACAGGAGAAAAAAGCAAGTCGAGGGTTTCTGTCCTGAGGTGGCCAAATCCTGCCCAGACCCCTCTCCCCGCCACAGCTGATTCTTCTGTGGGGCTACAGGAGGCCGCAGGTGGGCACGCCTAACTGCTAACCGGGAGGTATTTTCCCATGAGAAATACCAGCCCATGCGCACGGAATCACACCAGAGGCCACACCTCAAGTGAATCCATCTGGATCTGGGGATTCCTCTGCTCGCCTATCATTCCAACCTCAGAGAGGCAGATGCTCAGGCCTTTCCTGGTGGTCCTGGTAACGGGCTCCACAGAGGCGAGCACCAGGCAGGTGGAGCCTGGGCCACTGAGGGAGGCCACACCTGGAGGGCCGTCTCCCCGGGCAGGGCCCACCTCAGCGATTCTCAAAGCAGGTGAAGAACAAAGCAGACTAGGACTTGGTTCAAACAGACGCGCTCAGAGCAGGGACAGGGAGGCCTGGAGCCGCAAGTGGTCACGTCGGCAGGCTGGCTGGGGACGAGCCGCACAGGGTCACGGCTGAGGTTCTGGCTCTAGGACCTTGGTCCTGGTTGGCACACCCATGAGACAGTCAGGCTGGGAAGTGCTCTGTGGAACACAAACCACTGACTCCCATAGACACTAACAGCTGCTGTGAAGGGGGCGTCGGTGAGACCAAGGATGACCCGATGAGGCACTGAGAGGCCACAGCAGGGGCTGCACAGTGTCCTCTGGTTGGAAAGGGGTGTGGCCAGCAGTGCTCTGTGTGGGCAGCAGGGAGGTGAGGACCTGAAGACTGGTTTTCACTGTCCAAGAAGTTACCAGCGAGGAGGGGGAGTCCCGACTGAACCTGATTAAGGGTGACTCGTGGTTTCCATGCATAGGGGTACAAGGTAACTGGCCAGCACGCCTCAAGACTGTCAGGTCACAGAGACAAAGAAATGGGAGCTAGTGACATCAGGGCAGCTTCCTGACTCGGCGGTTACGTGCGGTCAACCAGGAAGTGGTGTGAGGAAAGCTGGCCAGCGGGAGTGCACAGAAACCGGGTTCTTGGCAACTTTTCCATAAGTTTACACTTATTTCAAAATAAAAACTTGACACTGTGGATCTGAGTCCCTCTGTCTGAGGGGCCTGGGAGTGTGCATTCCTCCCACGACCCCTCCTGTCCTCCTCAGGCACCTCTGCTCACCTCCTACTGGGGGGCTGTGGAGCACACTGAGGGTCCCAGCTAAGGCTCCCACGCCACCCAAGGCTCCGGAGCGAAGATGGAGAAAGTTCTCAGCAATCAACTTTTACTCACAACAGCATTCCAGGAAAAGGCAAACTTGGCTTCTGCCCCAACCCGGCATCTCCGAGGAGCTCTGCATCCACTGGGGGCCACGGCCAGGGAGCCGGGCGAGGTCGGCATCACGGAAAAAAAGCCAGGTGGCACTTTGGGTCTCATGCCACAGTCCAGAGTGCCGGGCACCCCATACACCTTACTGCACGAACGCGCAGGGGCTCAAGTCTAGGAAGCACCAAACACAGTGAGCCAGGGAAAGCGCTCCATCTCCATCCATGTGAGCCATTACTGTGAGGATGCCAGATGGCCTCTGGCCGGCACTGACCATGCAGCGCTCCTCAGTGGATGTCGCAGAGGGGCTGACGCCCAGAGCTCCTGTCTGCTGCACATTCCTTTTCTTTTGGCAAAACAAACAACTCCCCCACCCCAAACCCTGGAAGCTTCAAGAAACGAAATAAACTTCGGGAATTAGGAAACTAGAAAACTGCAGCCTGTCCCAAGCTCTGTTAGGTGCCCAGCACGTGTCGGGAGAGCTGCCGCCGCTGCTCGCCAAGGGCAACTCTCCCAGCAGCCACTCTGGCTTCAAGTAGCCGGTGTGAGCCCACAAGGTAGGGTGAGCCAGACAAGCGAGGGAAGGCACCCGATTATTTACAGTGACAGGAGAGGCCTCAGTACAGACTCTGGGCTCCTGGAGGAGACACAGGACACCCCTGCGGGGCCCGAGCCCTCCAGAGGTGTGGTAGGCGGAGGATGCAGACCACCAGTGGGCACGCCTGGACTTGGAACTGGGCGTCTTATACTGGGGAGCTAGGTGGGGCAGCTGGCAGGGGGGAGGTCCAGCTGGAGTGGGGGCCTACGGGGGCTGCCTGGCAATGGGGAGCAGCCCTGACCCCCACGGACAGCACACCTGCCATCACATGGAGTCTGGAGTCTGCAGGTACCCACATTCATGTGGCCACCGCTGGCCAGTCCTCAGCAACTCCTTGGAGCATGGTTGGTGGAGGGGCCTGCAGATTCCCAGCTGGTTGGGCCAGAGTCACAGAAATTACCCAGAGAAGTCTGAAGTTTGTGCAAACTCACCCCCCAGGACACAGACCCACACCCATGCTAAGAGAAGAGGAATGGTGTCCAGGCAGGCCTGGCAGGTGAGGGGCCGAGAACAGCAGGGCTGCCAGCTGCTGCTGCGGGGTCGGGGTCATCAGAAAGACAAGGCCGGTGGGGAGGGAGGCAGGGGTGTCCTTTCCGGCCCTTCCCGCACGAGGCTGGAGGCAGTGCACTAATTCCTCAGGGCAGCCAACCTGCAGACAAGAGGATCCCTGTGAGACCCTGGGAACCTCCCACCCTCTTCCTTTCTGCTCTCCAAGGCTGCCTTGAGGAAATGGGTGTGCAGCCCTGGAAACAGCCACGTGTGGCCAGTCTTGTTGCTCCCTCTCTAAAGCGAGATGTAGACTGTGTGTCAGCTGCTCCTGGGCCTGGAGGCACTGAAACTCAAGGACCCAGTGGGGTGGTGGTTTGGGGTGTGATTTCTCAATCTCTAGGCCAGCCGCCTCCCACTCAGAACCACAGGGTCAGAGCACAGGCTGGTGACCGGGCCCACCTCCGAGACAGCTGGTCCTCCTGGCTGCGCACGGAGCTCTCGCCCACGGCGGAGGCGCCCTCGGGCAGCTGGCTCAGCTGGTCCAGGACCTCTAGGCCACTCTCCTCGGCGATCTGCATGATGAGGCTGTCCACCTGCTCCTGCGGTGTGGTCAGCGTGGTGGCCGAGCTCATGGAGTCCTCCATCACCTGGGGGCCGTGTGCTGGGCAGTCAGCCTCAGGCCCAGGACCTGAGAACCCCCAAGGCAGCCTCCCCAGGTCCCCTCTCACCTGGCTTCCTCGAGGCCCCTCCCCCAAGACCGCCCTCTTCCCCACTCTGCTCTGTCCAGAGCCCTCCCTCCGGCTGTCTGGGTCCTCTGGGCACAGCTGCCCACACCCTGGCCCCAGGCCTCCGTCTCAACTGCTAGACCTCCAGAGGCTGGTCTGGATGCCCCACAAGGGGCCGGGCTCCTGGGAGGTGACTCCCACAGAGGCCCAGCACAGAGGATACCTGGCAACACCGGCAGGGGCGCACATGCCTGGCTGGCCACCTGCACACCCAGACCCCAGGCTGACGTACCGATGTGTGCACGTCAAGGTTCTGCACCTGCTGCTCGAACCTGTCCATCACGGCCGAGACCTTCTGCAGGTCCATGGTGCTGAGCGCCCGGTCCAGGGCCTTGGTCACCTGCGCCATGTTCTTGGTCACCTGACACAGGAGGGAGAGAGGAGGCAGTAGGGCTGAAGGAAGGAAATGCCACCCACCTGGGATGGGCCCTCAGTGTGGCTCTCTCCTGGCACAGCACCAGATGACGCCATCAACTAAAGGGGACACCAGGCTGGGGCGCTGAAGACAGTCTGAGGACACGGTGGCTTTGGGGTGTCTCCTTCTTGGTGTGTCTGGAGGTAGTCCCGGCCTGGCCTCTGCCCCAACCACGGCCCCCTCGGCACACAGCCCTCGGCCAAGCACTCACCCCCTTCATAGTCACGGCCGTCTGCACCTTGGAGGCCACAGCGTCCACACGGGATGCCATGCGGAGCCAGTTCACACCTTCGTTCTTCTTGCGAATGGCATTTTCAGCGTACACGCGGGCACACTCCACATTTTTCTGCTGAAGGGCCTGGAATTCAAAGAGAAATGCCAGCTGGGACTTGGCCTAGGCCTTCCCCAGGTGCACTTTGCTCTGGGTGGGTATTTTCACACGTCTGTGAGCCTCACAGAAATGCCAGAGCTCAGGCCCCAAGTTTGCTCAGGAGTGAGTACATCCAGGGCAGGGCTGCCGGACCAGCCCTCAGAGAGGCTCAGACCCAAGAAAACACGGCCTCTCCCCACTCTCACCAACGCACTCGGCCCTCCCCTGCTCCTCCCGGAGCCTCATGCTGTCAGTCCACCCGGAACAACCAGAGCGCAAGGATTCAGACCCGAGAGCCAGCTGGCCTTTCCTTTCTGCCGTGGGAGCCCAGTCTGGGTGACGGGCCACTCAACCCAACACCCCCGGGAGCTTCTCCAGCTATTAACCAGCTGTAGAGAGCCCCCATGGAGAGCAGCCAGACTGCCTGGAGAGGTCCCACAGGAGCTCAGGTGACCCCTGGGAGCTTCCCGCCCTGCCCTCACCACACCAGGGGGTCCGGCCTCTGCCCAGGTTCTGATGCCGAAGGCACCAGCCACACAGGGAAGAGTTGGACGTGAGGGGCCCCGGGCAGGCGCAGCTGGAACCTGCTTCCCGAATAATCTGTGAGAGAAGCAAGCTCAAGACGCAGGGTGTGGCTGTTCACTAAACAGAAGAAAAGGCAGTGCAGATCCTTAGCCTGGACGCTCTGGGCTAGGGGCTCCCTCCCCTTCTCCCCGGGGAAGCAAACACCCGATCGCCCGCGCCACAGTCCTGGCAGCACCTCGCACAGAAAGAAGACCCCGGCCCAGCCCAGCAGCAGCTGCTCACCTTCTTCACCTTGGCCTGCTCCGCCTTGGAGTCCTTCTCCGCCTTCTTGGCCAGCTTCTCCAGCTGCTTTGCAGTGAACTGGCAGAGACAGGCGCCAGGTCACCCCACGACCTGCCCCTGGGCCGCTCCCTGCTCTCGTTGGCCCCAGGCTGTAAATTTGCTGAAAGGAGACACCCCATACCCTAGGGATCGCGGTTTCCTAACCCTGGCCTTGCTAGCTCTGTCCCTCAGTGCACATCACTCACCCACCTGGGAGAGCTACCGTCCCCTTCCACAGCCCCGGGATCCCGTGCACTTGGGATGTTCTGTAGTGGAAAAGATTTCTTGTCTGTCCACCTCACACTCCTACGTTCTTCAGGGAAAAATCTAGATCTTCCTGACCCGGGAATCTGGTCCAGAGGCCACACGTCAGAGCCAGTGCGGCGCCTACACTCAGGAGCCTGTGCACAGCACTCCCGCCCAGTCTTCCAGAACCAGCCACGGATGGTCACCTACCCGGAACCTGAGGGAAATGCTCCAGGAGCTTCATAGCACCACCCCAGGGAGGAGGAACACTCCACTTCAGCGATTCTGAAGGACCTGGGCCCACGGCCACAAATGCACAGTGGACAGTGAAGGCAGCAGGCACACCCTCGCTCCCACGGATGAGCCCAAGTGATCTGCTTCTGCTTGGCCCAAGACCTGCCATCCAGCCGATTCACTGAGTCCCTCGGTCATCAGTCTGGCTGGGCCCTATCCCCTGAGGGTGACTCACATCATTTGTCCCCACTGGCAACCACCAGGCCAGGCTCGGGGTGAATGGCTGTTCAGTACATACCTTCAACTGGAACAGGGTATCTGTGAAGAGAGAAAAGTGTTTTCAGGGTTTTAAGAAATGAGACAGGCAACTCTTCCAAGAGGTTGCTGGGGTCACTAAGACCCTCCCGGATGTGAAAAGTGGGAACAGAACTGGGGTCTACAGGGAGGCCCACCCCATACCAGCTCTGCCCCCACCTCAGCCACAGGGCCAGGCAAACGCAGAGCCTCCCTGACCCTCCGCTTCCTCACAGGTACCACCAGGACGGCCCCGGCTCACCTTACCCATTAGTGTGCAGGGGAAGGAGGTCATGGGTGCAGCCAGCAACCCACGGCGAATGCTCAAGAGGGTTTGTAATCAGTGCAGCTTTACCAAAGACCCTTGGGACTCCTTCCCAATTTCATAAGGCTGAGTACTTGAGTCTGTGTTTTACACACTCTTTATTCCCAAGAGCAAACGGGTAAAGACAGCAGGGTGATGACCCTTCTGTGGTTAAAGAGCTGGCCTGCAGAGCCCACTCTCCGCAGCAGCTACCATTTCTGAGCCATCGAATCAGACTCAGGTGACCCCTTCCCACAACAAGGAATCACTAACGTCCTGGGCATCCAAACTTGCTACTCACTAAAACCCAATAGCCAGGTAGACTCAGGTTCATCTTAAAACGATCTCAATTTATTCCATTCCTAAATTTGGAGAATGACTCCTGAAAGGGTTTACCACACTAGCCCAGAATGAAGAAACAAGATCCTGTAACCAGAATGGGGGTCCTAGGGGTTCACAAAGGCAGATACAGACTCCCAGCTGAGAGCCCAGCTTCAGATGCGCTCTGTGCAGCCATCAGCATGGTCCTGGTCTGTGCCTCTGGAGACACACGGCAGGTGGTGTGCTTCCTGCAGGGAGAGCGAGGCTGGGTGGGGTGTGGCCCAGACTTAGTGGGAGGAGCAGACTCTGAAGAGCAAAGTTTAAGGCAAAGCCTGACCGGGAGAAAAGTGACAGATACACAGAATTCCCTGGAGCTGAGTGAGCTGTGGGGCAAAGCCAACACTTGAGTGTGTCTGTTGGGGGTGGGGGTGCTGTTTCTCTCTGTGAGGCAATTTCACAAAGTGATTTTCAAAACTTCTGTATCACACCAGCCCTTAAACATTCTATCTGATGTAGGAACCTTCACTTTATCTCTGATTCTGCCAGTTCCTGAGCAGAGCACGGCAGAGTGGGCCCTAAGGTGGTGCTGCAGACAGTGGGGGCCGCCTGGGGACTGTGCCTGCAGGGACTCCCTGTCACCCTGTTTTCCTGTCTGCAGAATGGGAGCATATGGTTTCTACCTCAAGAGCTGTTGCGCCTGGCACATAGTGAGTGCTTTCTGCCTGAGTTCTTCCTACTGTCAGTGGTGTTCTGGGGGCAGTGGTGCAACTGTCTCCTTTCGGGGGCCCCATGACCTGACATCCCAGGTCTGCAAAGGCCCATGTCTGTCGCCAGCACTGCAGCCGGGGGGATGGGGCAAGGGTAGTCGGTCGCTGACTACGGCAGGGGAAGGGGTCGGGGATCGGAGTCCTGTGTAGGAGCCCCGGAGCTGCAGACAGATGTCGCGGTCTCGATCCGCAGTCGGAGTTTTGGGTTGAGGCCCCGGAGTTCAAGGTTGGGGATTGGGGTCCCGGCGTTGGAGATCCGGTTCCAGGTTCCGGGTCTCGGCCCCAGGGCTGGCGGATCGGGTGGGGTCCAGGGTCGGGGTCCTGGGTTGACGCCCCGGAGTCCGGGGTCGGGGATCGGGGTCCGGGATGGAGGCCAGGGGCGCCACCCTGAACCCCGCCGGCGGGAGAGGCGGCCCCGCCCCGCGCGCCCCTGGAGGGCGGCGGCCGTAATCTTACCGTCCATGGTGGTCCAGCGGCGGCAGCCGGGCAGAGACGGAGGGACGCGATAGGCCCGCGGCGTCGACCCAACCGACTGGCGCTGGCGGGCGGGCACTTCCGGCGGCCGGGCCCTCTCGCGAGAGGACGGCTGATCCCGCGCGGCGTTGCCGTGGTGACCGCGCAGCGCCCTCTGTGCGTCAGCGCGCCCGCGGTCGTGGCGGCCCGGCCGCGTCGGCGGGGGCGCTGCGCTCGGCTATGGGGCTTTCCAAAAGCAAACGCAAGCCCGGGAAAGGTAAAGGGCGCCGGCCTGCCGTCTCTCGGGCGCCGCGCCGCCCTCGCAAGTCCTCCTGCGCCGGGTCCTCTCGGACAGCCCTGCTGCTGCATCTTTGAATGCCTACCTTTAGGGAAATGGAGTGACCCAGGTCCTTCAGGCTGTCTTACTTCGTTCTGGACCAAAGCAGGCACCGAAGAAGGATGGAATCCATTGCCCTAGAGTCTAATTCATTATTCACATATTTCAGGTGAGGAGTCAAAGAACGAGAGGTCGATGGACAGGCCTTGCCAGGAGCCTGAGAAGCCCCGAGACGTGAAGCCTGCAGAGAGCTTACTTCAGAAGAAAGAGGCGGCCGAACGGCAGTGGCCTTCATCTGAAGTCGAAGGTAGGACACGCCCCGGAGGGGCCAGAACCTGAGGTGTGCGACTTCAGGTAGTTTGAGGATGGGGTGGACAGGAGCCTAAGTGAGAGGATGCTAAGAGCAGGGGCCATGCCCTAACGGTGGAAGGGGTTTTAGGACCTTTATCTGGGAGGTAAATATCCAGAATTCTAGGTGGAAGATGTAAGTTCAGTAAAAGTTCCCGGGTGGCAGCTGCATAACATGCAGTCAGGAGGAGCTTAACCGTGTGCAGACAGGAAGCCACCCCATCACCCCAGGGTGCATGTCTCTGGCCGCATCCCGCAGGCTCGAACTCCGCAGGCTGCCCCGGTGTGGAGTAGGTCCTGTGTCAGAGGGAGGTGGGAGCATTCTCCTTGACACAGTGATCCCGAGGAAGTAGAGGGCGGAGGGACAAAATGATGGGACAGGTGGCAGAATTACTCACTTTGTAACAGCCCAGTGTGGTCAGGCCTCTGGGGGTGGGTCAGGGTTGAAGCCACAGAAGATGAAATCTTTTATCAGTTTCCTCATGTGAGTGGTGGAAACGGAATGGCTGAATCATTAAAACAAGGGAAGTATGTTGGATTGGTGCATTGGAAACGTTTGTCTCTAGAATAGAGGCCCTTAGGGGCAGCAAGGCCCATTGCTGTACCTGGGCAGGAACGAACGAGGTGGTGGCAGGAGGCATATCCAGAAGGATCCAGGAGGGAGAACCAGCAGAACCTGCTGTCTGATAAGATGGGGGGGGGCGTGGTGAAGGACGGAGCCAGGACATATATGGTTTCCACATTAATCGACCACATTTTAATTGTCCACATTAAAATGTAAAACATCTCCCCACACGCTCCACGGGTAAGTGTAAGACAAATGGTAAAGCTCAAAAAAATATTTGCAACAAAACTTAGAGGCAAGAGATTGACTAACATGTGACAGGTCAATAGCCCTGACACATTGCTGGTGGGAGGACCTTGTTGAAGGCAGTTTGGTAATGTGGGAGGGCCCCTAGGACGGCTGTGCTGTGACCAGCAGGGGCAGTTACGGGTGGGCAGGGCCTGTGCAGAGGGTGGGATGCCTCTCCTGCGACCAGGCTATTAGTCAGCTGGCTTTGGCTTAGAATGGGGATCACCCTGAGTGCACCTGCCCTGTTAGGAGGACCATTAACAGAGGAAAGGCAAGAGTGTCAGAGGGGTGGCTGTGAAGAAATCACCTACCACATCAATTATACCTCAATTAAAAACAATTTTAAAGGAAGTCAGTTACCAGTTGTGAGAGCCAGCAGCCAGCAAGAAAGTGAGGGCTTCGTCCTTGACCCAAAAGAAATGAATTCCGCCTACCCCCAAATGGGTGTGGAGGGTCCCCAGGTCCAGATGAGAATGCAGCCTGGCTGACAGCTGACCCAGGGGACCGAGATGCTGTTGGTCCTGGTTTAAGTTTGCCACCGAGTCTGTGGTCATCTGCTACGCAGAAACTGAAGACTAACACGGGTCGTGTGTGTAAAGAACCCTAAAAAGCTTCATGTTTCTCTGTGAAGAAGCTTCATAACGGAGGAAGAGAAAAAAAGGCTTGTTTTGGACGAGAAAGCCTCAGTGATGAAAAGATGTTAATTCTCCCTTAATCCATCAAATTGATGTGCCCCAGTCAAAACACCACAGGTCTTTTTGGGAACAGGACTCAATTATCCCAAAGTTCATGTAAGAATAAAAACATAAGACTAGTTTCCAGAAACATGTGGAAAAGCAGAGGGATTGAGTCCTCCGCACAGAATAATGGACATGCTGTGTCACGTTTGGCTGGGATCTGAGGAAGGATGCCGGGGAAGGCACAGGGGAACATGGCATTTTCACTGCGTGCCAGTTGAGAAAACAAAAAGCTTCATGTTTTCACCGCAGTCCTGACTCCAGAAGTTCTCTGAGTCAAAAAGTTGAACATGGAAAGTGAAACTGCACAAGTGTGAAATGGGAATGGGTAAGCACTCTGTAGCTTTAGAGCAGGGAAGGCCTTTTTCCAGTCCGACAAACTCTAAAGGCCTTGAAGGAGGTGGGCACAGCTCAGTGGTAGAGCACATACTTGACTTGCATGAGGTCCTGGGTTCAATCCCGAGTTCCTCCATTCACACATTTTTTTAAATTTAAAAATAAATAAAAGTCATGAAGGAAGAGACTGATGAATCTGCTGCAAAAAGCAGTAAAGTGAAGCTAAGAACAGGGAGCTGTTTGCAGTGTGAATCACTAAGAGTGAATTTGTTAAATATAGAAAAGCTCACATACACACACAAAAAAGGTCAAAGTAGACAATGCGAAATGACGTGCATTCACAGAAGTGCCAATGGCCGCTGAGCAAGGGGGAAGATGCCCCCTCTCATTTGACTTGGAAAAAGATGCAGCAGAAAACTGTCAAGAAACAGGAGGGTGTGGGGAAGTGTCCTGCTTATGGCCTTGTAGCGGAAATGTACGTTGATATCATCTCTATGGAAATGATTTGACAATATTTACCCAGATTTTCCGAGTAACTTTTACCCGACAGAAACCTTCACAAGTCTGCAGATACACACTTGCAAGGGTGTGCACTGCACCACTGTTTAAAAAGAAAAACTGAAAATAACCTAAATCATGTTCATCAAAGGGAGCTGGTTCCATACGTGCTGGGTCCCGGCCGCCCCGGAGGAGGGGCCGCCCCTGCATGGACGCGTAGCTCCGCCGAGCTCGCAGTCGGTGCAGGACACGCCTGCACAGTATGACTCCAGATGTTTCTGTGCACTTGGAGTGTTGGGGAGGAGAATTATTATTCTGTGTGCAATTTTAAATCAACATGTTTTACTTTTAAATTAAATATACATAACCTTTTAAGTAGTCTTAATATGTAAAAAGCTTGTATAAATCAATGTGAAAGATGGCAATTTAAATTAAATCCAAAATACAATAAAATGTACATTTGGCTTAATGATAAAAATGAAACGGGCACTTAGTGCTGAGTGCAGGCCCAGGATCACTGGGTAGTGGCCACAGTGCTGAAGGTCAGGGCTCTGTACCAGACTGCCTGGCCCCAGCATCCTCCTCTGCTGCCAGCCTTGGGCAGGTGACTTAACCTCTCTGGGCCTCAGTTCTCCATCAGTAAAACTAGGTCCTAGGAGGACCTGCTGCAGAAATTGTTGTGGGTCTCTATTCTGGGGCTCAGAACAGTGTCTGGGAGAACAGGCAGCTCTTCGTCCCCTGTACAACTGAGTTGGTGAGGTGCTGAGTGGGGAACAAAGCGGGTAACAGTGTATTCTAACTTAGTACTCGTGTGCACACAGGAGGCCTGATGGGGGGCCTGACACTCACCAGCCTGGGGAGCAGGCCAGGAGATGAGGCTGTGAAGGAGCTTCTGCTTTTGTATTTTGTAACATCTGACAAACTCAGCATTTCATAAGTCCCAGGGGTTCCTTGTAATCTTAACAAGTTTGAGAAAATACTGTGGCCAACATCAGAGTGTTGGTTTCTGGAGCATCCTGATGGATGAAGTTCTTTTACCAGGTTTAGGATTCTTTGGAAACTGTGCCTCTGAACCTTCACCTCGGGGGCAGACCCTGCCTTTTCCAGGTCTCTCTCCTTTGTCCCTCTCTCCTCCCTGCACCTGTCACCCGAGCCACCCGGCAGCTCAGCCTTTCCCCATGGATGGTGGAAGGGTCTCTCCTGTTCTTTTCCTTGAAGGAGGGCTCCTGGCCGTCACCACCCTCATGGCTGAGTTGCTAATGGGTTTCAGTTTTGGGAAGGTCGCTTCTGTTTTTGGCCGCTTTCAGCCTCGCCTGTTTCTTTTCCCGAGCCACAGACCTAATTCTTCTGCTCTGGCCTCAACACAGATGTTGTCTGCTTTATGGAAGTGTTTTCCCACAGACGTATTAAGTACCTGGATGTTTTCTCCTTTCTAGAGAAACCTGACATCAAGTCAGAAAAGAAGGTTGCCGTCCCACAGATCGTCATCACCAAGGCCTCAAAGGAGACTCTGGTCAGCACTGGTTCCGTAGCGAGCCAAGAGCAGAGGACCATTTGGGAGCGAGCTGCCTGGGGCCCCTACTACCGACACAGGAACCCCAGTACGGTAGATGCCTATACTGTACAGACCACAGAGTAAACAAGCACCCAGCAGCTGGGGTTACTCCCTGTGCTCTGAGTCTCAGTGGTGGAGGCAGAAGGGCCGCCCTGTCCTGTGGAAGCCTGCTGGTGCCCCTCCAGTAAGTGATGTCCCCGTGTGAGCACCGTGATCTCACCTTCTCCAGAGCCACCCACAGCTTAGCAGAGGGCAGGAGTGACTGGCTCCGAGAGTGAGCTTGTGTAATAACTGAAAAGGTGGGCATGGCCCTATTGGACCAGCTGGCTATGTAGAGTGAAGGACACCTCTCTGACTCTCTGTGGGCCCTTGTGAGGCAGCATGCTGAGTGTGCTCAGTGAACCACACGCCCCCACACTTGGACAAAAGGCCAGACTCTGAGGACTAAAGCTTAAGGTCTTAGGTCCCAGAACAGGGATGTGCACGGTCACCTTGGAGGGTCCAAGGGCTCCTAGCTTGAGTATAACCTGATCAGAAGAAGGGGTGGGTGGAGGCAGCTGTGGCTCTTAGGATTTGGCAGTGGCTCTGTTGGAGCTGCCCTGGAAGAGGAGAGTTGAACTGAGGACCTGCGTCTTCCTGGCTGTGGATGAGGGCGCTGGGTGCTGAGGGGCCATTCAGGGGACCCCCAGCCTCTGCTGTTCCATCCTTGCCAGCAGCTCTTGGGTCAGGGTCTGCTCTCCTCTGGTGTGGCTGGAGAGCGTGCCCTGCCCTGTTGAGGCCACCCATTTGGCCTGGAGACAGTGTGTATCAGCTTCCTGCTTCCAGCTTTACTGACACGTTGTTAACATCATTACTTCTACTTGTTTAACTACTTGTGACTGCCACTACTAGATACCTATATAGAAGAATCGAGCCCATACAGAGGTGAACTTGGCCCCACAGGGTCTGCATGACTACTCTTCTCCATAAAATTTCTAGTAGCTTTTGCAATTCTATTATTTGACCTAGAAACTGCTTTTCTCATACCCCTGTCTTGAGCATCTCAAATAATCTAAAAGCTATACTTAACCATGGTGTTAATTCTAGTCTCATTAGCTATTAGCTTAGCTTATCAGAATTCAAATATGGCTAGAATGAACTAAGTATATTTGTTAAAACATTTTGACTCATTAGGATTACTTAATTTCATAATTATCAAATGCCCTTAACTTACATTAATATTGTTTCAGCACTTATAGCACAGTCCCCTTCACAAGAGAAGCTGCACCCGCCGACACATCCCACTCACTCTCCTGCCTTCTTTTCTCCTTAGCAGCATAGCTCTCACAGCCTAGAGCTAGAATGGACGATTCACCAGGGCAGAGCCTGACAGGGTGAGCACTTTGTGGGTGCCAGACACGAATGTGTTAGGTGACCTCGAGGTCCCACAGCGCGTTCATCGCGCCACATCCTGTCAATTCTTTCGGACGCCCCCTCTGCTCTTGCCCAGGCCGCCTCCCTCCATGCTGCAGGTCGTCCCTCCAGTGCTCCAAGGGAGAACTCTGAAGCACAGCTCCCTCTGCCCCAAGGTCCACTGCAGCCCACCCCCCCAAGTTCCCGCAGCCCCTGGGGCCCCCCGGCCCTGCAGCCCCTCGGACGTAGGCCTTCTTGTCCGGTAGCCTTTACTCAGCGCCTCAGCCCAGTCCGGTGCCGGTGCTTAGAACTAAAATAAAGCCAGAACCTCAGTAGTCCCATGAGATCTTAGGAGCTGAGGTCCTGTGGGGTCGTCGGGAGGTTCCCTTGGTAACCGTTGCTAAGGAGCGGACGCCCCGAAAGTACACTGCGCGCCTGCGCGGAGGAACCCCCTGTCTGCGCCTGCGCCTGCGCACACGGGCAGCGGGAGGGGGGCCCGCACTCGGCATGGGGGAGCCGGAGCCGGAGTCGGAGCAGATCCGTCTGAAGTGTATCCGTAAGGAAGGCTTCTTCACGGTGCCTCCGGAACACAGGGTGCGACTTGGGGCTGCTCAGGGTACCGCTGCCCTCTCGGGCAGCAGGGTGGGACCGAAACGCACTAGGGCCCTCAGTGTCGCGTTAAAGCGCCCAGGTTTCCGGCAGGGGCGGGAACGACAGTCCCAGAGTTCCGCGCGACAGGCGCGGAAGCCGGCGGGGGCGTTCTGGGTCCCGCGTCGGTGCGGGCCCCGGTTCGCGTCGTGAGCAGGCGGGCCGGCTCCCAAGCCTCTGGGAAGAGCGGACTCTGGGCTCCAACTCGGGCGTTTGTTAGTTTTGCGCCCGGGACGGGCACCTCGTGTCGCGGAGAAGAGCCATGGGAAGTGTCGGAGGCCACACCTGTGACCCGGCACTTCGGTGTGTCTTGCTCCGTGCGGATCCCCTGCGCGTGTTACTGTCGCTTGGTCCTCTCGGGGACCCGCTGCAGAGATGAGGAAGGCCAAGCTTAGGTGTGGTGAGTGGTTTTACCAGGGCAGACAGCTCGTGCAGGGGCAGGTGTGAGCGCTGCGGCGGACTGTTCCAGCTACTTGCCGGTGCTCTGAGAGGCCACGTCAGTACCCGGTAAAGATCTAACAGGTTGGCCGAGCGAGCGCAGGAGAGCCGCCCGTGAGCCGCCCGCTGCCGTGGTCCGTCGTCGAGATCCGCGGCAGGTGTTCTCAGTGGGGAGTTAAGACGTGCCTGGGTGAGGACAGGGCAGAGGCCACAACAGATGCTTCAGGACAAAAGCATCGGGATTTTTCGAAGCGTCGTTTTCACTTGGGGGCCAGGAAGAAATTTTTAGAAGGGGTGGCATTTCTGCTGGGCCAGGATGTGTGACTGGGTTTTGGACACGCAGACATGAGGCAGGCTTGCCAGACCTCAGGAAAGGTAGGAGCAAAGTCAGGGGAAGTACAGAGAGTGTCTGGGAGGCACCAGGAGTTCAGCAGAGGGAGACGACCTGAGAAGGACAATTCAGTGAGAAAGGGAAGTTGAGGTGAGACCATGGAAGGGCTTCAGGCCACACCAGGTCATTCTGACTTTGTTCCGCAGGTGTTCGGAAGGAAGAGGATGGAGCACAAGGTAGAACAGAGGCAGGGAGGGTGGCAAGGGGCTATTAGAATTCGAACCTTACCGCATGTGCTTCTTCCACCCAAGGAGAAGTGGTCATTCAGTCTGCTGTGAATGAAGGTGTGTTGGGGTATAGGCTCTTTGCTAGAACAGACAGACCCCAAAATATGGTGGCTTAAGTTCAGGACTTTATTTCTGTCTCCCCTAACATTCCACAAGGTGGGCCAGGCACCTGGGTTGTCTGTACCACTTCCAAATCCCAGCCTGTCTTGGGCAGAAAGGAGTGGGTGGCAGCCAGCTTCCTTTGACCAGGAAGCTATCCTTGTCCCTTCTGCTCACATCCCATTGGCCAGAATTTAGTCACATGGTCATACCTGGCTGCAAGGGAAGCTGGAAAGTGTGGCCACCAGCTGGGTGGCCACATGCCCCTGGGCTGTGTTTCATAACTCAAGAAGTCACATGTGATGTTGGGGACTTTCAGTCTCTGCCACAGAAGTGTTTCTGCTGTGTTTGGTAGATGCTTCATGAAGGTCTTCAAGCTTTTTCCATCTCCAGAGCATAATTCAGACCAGTGCTGCTCAGTGGACTTTTTGTGATGGTGTAAATTTGTTTTCTGAATCATCCAGTCTGGTCACCAGGAACCACATGGGGCTGTTTAGCACTTCACACATGGCTCGTGCAGCTGAAGGAATGAATTTTTAGTTTCATTTTAGTTAGTTATAACCACGTGTAGCTTGTGGTTACTGTTTTTAGGCAGTATACATCTGGACCATGGGATTGAAAGACTGGTTAGATGGTCTTTGACATCACATTCTAAGTGCCAGGCCAGCATCATCACCTCATTTTCACACCTAGAAACTCAAGTGTGTGGTCACTTTTCTGTTTGGTGAGCAGGACATGAGCTGGTTTCTTGGTACAAATTAAGTATCAGTGTCCATCTCTGGTTCTCTCACTGCCAGCACCTCTCTCTTGCAGCTGGGACGATGCCGGAGCGTGAAGGAGTTTGAGAAGCTTAACCGTATTGGAGAAGGCACCTATGGCATTGTGTGTGAGTGGCCACCCTGGGAGGCCGGGTGCCCAGGAGGGCATTGGCAGCAGCTGTGTCGGGGCTGGAAGGAGGGTCATGTGAACTCCAATCCCCAGTGTTGTTGCCGGAGATCTCACACCATGTCTGAGGAAATGTAGGCATCAGGTTGCTAATGTGTACCTATGAGTGGGGTAACTTACAGCCAGAGTGGAGCAACAGCAGATGCAATGTGGGTGTGCATCACAGTGCTGAGCTCTCGGAAGTGGCACGAATTAGCACAATGCTTTGGGGAGCCAACTTGGCCCAAAACAAGAGTTCGTGTTTCAAGGTAAAGCACCTTGTTTGCTGTTAGAGTGGAGTAACCACAGAACACAAAGCAGCGATCGCACGCTGGCTCTAGGAAGGCAGGCTTACCGGGGGCTTCTCACAACCTGGTGCTCACACAACCATAACAGCTCACACAGGAGCCTCCCAGGGAACACGTGTCTAGCGGGGCTGCGCTGTTGCTCGCACAGAGGGTGGTCACGGTGTCCAGTGGTGAGGAGGACGGGGAACGAGGGCTCACAGTGGGGATGGGCTGGGATTCTACTGTTGTCAGTTTCCATTCCAGATCGGGCCCGGGACACCCAAACAGATGAGATTGTCGCCCTGAAGAAGGTGCGGATGGATAAGGAGAAAGATGGTGAGCGCAGAGGGGCGGCAGGACCACTCTGGGTTTGGGTCAGGGAGAAGGTGTCAGTTGCCTGAGGCTTCCTCAGGACTGCCCCACTGAGTTGCCCCGGGTTTCCCAAGGGCGTCTGCATAATGGTTACAGGCTGCTGGGCTTGGGGCTGCAGCCTGGCCTGCCTGTCCCCACACGCTGGGCCTCAGGTGACTGAGCCCCTCCTCTCGCTCCTGTTGGGTGACTGCCTCAGCTCAGGTCACCCCTCCATGGGGCTTTACCCACCCAGACCGGGCTGGCATCCCCTGTGTGCTCCGTGCAGCCTGTGCTGACCATGACCCCATCATCTCCTTGGCTGCCCGGGCACGCAGGGCTCTGCCTTGCTCATGGTGGAACGCCTGTCAGGCTTAGTGCTCAGTGTGGGGAGCTGCTGCCTTGCATTTGATGAAGAAGGAAGGGCCAGAGGTGTTCGTTAGGATGGCTTTAATCCTCCTTGAGGTAGCTGGCAGAGCCCTGACAGTGGCAGGGTTGGGAGTCACTGAGAGCTGATGTGGGCTGAGTTTGGGAGTACACTGAAGTAGCTGACTGTCAGGGGTCCCTGTCTGCAGGGGTGGGGGTCGCTGAGGCTGGCTGGGTTGCAGGGGTGGGGGTCACTGAGGCCAGGCTGGGTTGCAGGGGTCCCCATCAGCAGCCTTCGCGAGATCACACTGCTCCTTCGTCTACGTCACCCGAACATCGTGGAGCTGAAGGAGGTGGTTGTGGGGAACCACCTGGAGAGGTGAGCGGCCTGCTGCCCCCCAAGTGTTTCCCCCAGGATTGGGTGCTCTTCCTGCAGGGTCCCTTGGCCCAGCTGGGAGGAGGTGGGAGGTGACATGCATCTGCCTCTCTTTTCTTCAGCATCTTCCTGGTGATGGGCTACTGTGAGCAAGACCTGGCCAGCCTCCTGGAGAACATGCCGACGCCCTTCTCTGAGGCCCAGGTTTGAGGCCAGGGGTTCTAGTGGGAGGCTTCCCGAGTCCTTGCCTGGCACATGTGTGCCAGAGACAGGCCACCCTAACTGAGGCCTTCTGGCACCCTGTGCAGGTCAAGTGCATTGTGCTGCAGGTGCTCAGGGGCCTCCAGTACCTGCATCAGAACTTCATCATCCACAGGTGGGCGGGGTCCAAGGGCTGGGCTGGGGGTGGGGGCCTCAGGAGACAGTCTTCCAGATAAGTGCTGGCTTGTGACGTGGGGGAAGGGTGACCACCAGTACTGACCAGTGCCAGTGAGTCACTTGCTAGTACCCAGGGCGGGAGCAGACAGCCTTGATGCAGTAGAGGTTCTGTAACTGCCCCTAGGGGAAGGGTCCAGGGCCAGATAATACTTGCTTTGCCCCCTGGGGGGCTGATGGTGTGCGTGTAGTCAGGCCCAAAGTCCTGTGGTGGAGAGAGCTTTTCTGGAGCCTCAAAAACACATGTCGGGGAAGGCAGAGCCTGGAGGGCAGAGGGGGCGCCTGCCGAGCGTGGAGCAGGACCACGCAGGCAGCAGCTACCTGGGCCCTGGGCTGGCTCGTGCGACCTGGGTGGGGAGCAATGGCAGCACTGGAGGTTAGACCTTGGCTTGAGGCCTGGCTTTGCGGCTTCCTCAGGAAGTTCCTGAGAGTCTGGTGTCCCAGCTGCCGGGGCCTTGCCCTGCCTGCCCTCATCTTTAGGAAGTTCAAATGGGAGGAGATGTAGGGAAAGCGTTCTGAGCATCACTGCAGTGGTGATGACCCGAGCACTCCACGGGCCTTCTGGGAGCCACCGATGTCCTCTTGCCATCACAGGGATCTAAAGGTCTCCAACCTGCTCATGACTGATAAAGGCTGCGTGAAGACAGGTGGGTGCGGCGCTGGCTCTGTGCAGGCGTCTCCGTGAGCGCCACCTCGCGGGGCTGGCAGGCCAGTCCCTTAAGTACCCTGAAGACTGCCTGCTGGCTCTTTGTCTTTTTGGTTCCGACGGTGACTGGAAGCCTTCCCTGGGTGACACTTACCCTCCCACCTCTCTGCCTCTGTCACAGCGGATTTTGGCCTGGCGCGGGCCTATGGCATCCCAGTGAAGCCCATGACGCCCAAGGTGGTCACTCTCTGGTGAGTCCTTGGGGTCCAGGTGTGCCTGCTGGAGGGAGGTTTTGGGGGTTCTGGTGAGGTTACAGAAGGATGTTAAGGGTCTTTAAGCTGTAGAGGCCAGTGTAGGATAGCTCCCTGAGACAGAGCAGGGCTGTCCCAGGGAAGGCCCTGCCCCTCCAGATGGGGCTCCAGTCTGCCCTGAGGTAGCCAGACACCTAGCCTGGCTCTGTGCCTTTTCGGGAAGGGGAGGTTGCTTCACCGACTGGAGGGCAGGACAGTTTGTGTCCTTTTTTTCTTTTTAAATGGTGGCTCTGGGGGTTGAACCTGGGACCTCACATATCTTGTGTGCACCAAGCATGCGCTCTGCCACTGAGCTACACCCTCCCCTAGTTTGTGTCCTCACTTGATGTTTTGAGGCAGAACAAAATTGTGATTAAGGGCGGGACACTGAAGCCAGTTGCCCGGCCTGTAGAGCACAGGCTGGCAGCAGACCCCTGCTGGAGACTTGGTGCTTTTTGCAGTGCTTCGGTCACGGCTGCACACGGGAGTGGTCTGTGGACAGCTGCTGTTGCTGGGGTGCCGAGCTCTAGAGGAAGGCAGGGCCCAAGCTGGGGCTTACGCTCTGTCATCCAGGCCGTCTTGGGTCCAGGAGGCTGGTGGCTGGCAGCCGGACAGGCGCAGAGCCATGGTGCCCTTGGAGGCCAGGCGGGAGGAGAGGAGCTTCCAGACCCAGGGTGGGGTCTTCCGTTTGCAGGTACCGAGCCCCTGAACTGCTGCTGGGGACTACCACACAGACCACCAGCATCGACATGTGGTAAGAAGCAGATACTGCCCCTGGGGCCTTGGGAAGGGCTGGGTGACTACGAGGAAGCTGGCAGGGATGGGAGTAGGGCTGGAGTTTGCCAGCCTCCCAGCTCCCAGGAAGAGGGGCCTCAGCCTGTGATCCAGAGAGGAAGTGAGACAGCTCTGGTGTTCATGGGCCCCTGGCACCGAGGTCCTGCCCTCGTGGTCACCGGGAGGCCTGCTATGACTGGGTCACATGACACAGGTGGAGGACCCAGCGTTCACCCGCTGGTCCTGTCATGACCTCCTCCCAGCTCTGCTCATCCTCTGCCCCCAGCACACAGGGACACGGGGGACAGTTCCGGCGCAGCGGCGCTCTGCAGAGCCAGAGGCCTCTGTGCTGAGGCCGTTCTCCTCTACAGGGCCGTGGGCTGCATCCTGGCCGAGCTGCTGGCCCACAAGCCCCTTCTCCCTGGCACTTCCGAGATCCACCAGGTGGACCTGATTGTCCAGCTGCTGGGGACGCCCAGCGAGAACATCTGGCCTGTGAGTGCAGCCCCTACCAGCCCTGCCCCACCCCTGCTGGGCCCTGTCTCCAGCTGCTGCTCTCCGCAGGGCTTCTCCCAGCTGCCGCTGGTCGGCCAGTACAGCCTGAGGAAGCAGCCTTACAACAACCTCAAGCATAAGTTCCCGTGGCTCTCAGAGGCTGGGTTGCGTCTGCTGAACCTCCTCTTCATGTATGACCCCAAGAAAAGGTGCTGACGGGCTGTGGGCAGGGACCCCAGCCCAGACACATGCACGGGGCCAGGTCCTGGAGCCCTTTCTGAAGTTCCCGTTGGTTTCTGGGCCCCAGACCCTTACTTGCCACCTAGTTTTCTGTTGTGTGGAAGTTAACCGGGGTCTGCAGTGCGGGACGGGTGTGAGGGAGACCAGCCTGGGTGAGGCCCGGATGCATGAACAGCGAGGCCTTCTCTCCAGGGCGACAGCTGGTGATTGCCTGGAGAGCTCCTACTTCAAGGAGAAGCCCCTGCGTGAGTTCCCCAGCTCCAGGCTTGTTGTCCAGGGCGGGGTTGGGGCAGGCCTCTCAGCGCCCCAAGTCTCTGAGGTGGGTGGTGGGCCACGGGCCACGGCCAGGCAGGGCTGCTCTGGGCCACGTCAGCTGTGCACAGGCTGAGGAGGGGAGCAGAGGGAGGTGTGGGAGGCTCTGCCTAGCCCAGTGCTGAGCAGCCCCCTCCCCATAGCCTGCGAGCCGGAGCTCATGCCCACCTTCCCCCACCACCGCAACAAGCGTGCTGCCCCCGCCACGTCCTCGGGCACCGAGAGCCAGAGCAGGCGCTGCAAGCCCTGAGCCGGGGTCCCCTCGGGCCCAGCTCGACCCTTGGCTGGGACTGACCAGCTGCTCCAGCTGCCTGCCCCTGCCCACCACTGCCCGGAGCAGCAGGGCGTGGACATGGGGGTGGAGGCTGCACTGAGTCCACCTGACGCGGTGCCCGCCACTGGCGGAGGAGGTCAGGACTCTAACTTCCTAGGAGAAGACGCAGCCCAGCTCAGCGGGCGTCGCTGGCTTGGGATGAGCAGAACCCTGTGGTCACTTGTGTCTCCACTTGATCAGGTTCTGCCTGAGAAGGGAGAGGCTAAGTGACCTGTAGTGGGGCTGGGAAGGAGGGGTAGGGCGTGGGGTGCAGCCAGCCTGGTGGGGAGGAGCCTAGGCTGCTGACACCACCGGAGCGAGAGCCTCGGGCTGGGGCTGCGCTCGGTCCCCACTGTGGAGGCCCCGATCGGCAGGGGGCACGGTTGGTTCCAGCAGGTGCTCAGGGAGATAAATGCTTTCCTTACACACGCAACTGGATCCAGTGTCCTTTAATGTACTTTGAGGTTCTGATTCGTGTGATGTGACAGGTGCTGGGAGGGAGGGGAGGTGAGACAGATGGACTGGGGTGGGGGACAACCAGTGGGGCCAGCACGGAAGACAGGCACTGCCCTAAGGGCAGAGGTGGGCAGACCCACCCCCTCCAGCCCTGTGAGCTGGTGGTTCTTGGAGGACCACCCCCAGGGAAAAGTGACTCTGCCTGTCTGCTATGGCCTCAGAAGTCGGCCTGGAGGCAGCTGCTTTTGCGTCTTCACCACTGAATCTGGGGTGGGCTTTTGGGTGGGAAGCTTTTAAACTCTTCCACTCTGTCCTCCAGAGTCAGTGCAACAGTAAGCATCAGTGTGGGGGGCTCAGGAGCCCCCTCACACTCCACCTGTAAGTGGCCACCCGCCACCCACCTCCCACTCGCTGCTCTTAGGTCTTTACTCTGGTGGGAGATGAGACCATTTCTCCTCCCCTAGGTGCAGCCGGGGCCCATGGGGCTGGTCTCAAGTCAGCACTCAGCTTATTCAGTGCTGGCCTCTGATACCCATGGTGGGCCCAGGTCCCCCCCATCAGGAGGTCAGCTATGCACTGAAAAGGCGCCGAGACTGGTCTCAGCAAAGCTCAGGGGCCCATGAGGTCATCTGCAGGCCCCAAGGACAACCCTCTGTGGAGCATCCCCCTGGACACTTAACAGGGAGCAGGTCGGGAGCTACGGGCTGACCTGAGGTCGGGTGGCGGGAGGGGTGAAAGAGGAGGGTGAGGGTCGTTCCTGGTGACAGGTGTGCTGGCTCCTCTACCCAGCATGTCTGGGCATGGGTCTAGGTGTCAAGGGCGGGGATGGGCCAGCCCGAGGTGGGGGCTCTCCATGGAAGGCGAGACCCCCACGTCACTGCTCAGGGCTCCTCAGTGGGGGGCAGGAGGGGCAGGGTGGCCAGTGACCCAGGCCCGAGGATGGACGAGGCCTAGAAAAGCACCACAGAAACTGTCTCCAGAAAGCCCTTGACCCAAGGCCTGGGTGGGCCTATGGCTGGGCCCCAGGGCCCTCGTAGAGCAGGGTTTCCACCTGTGCTCGCTGCAGCCACAGGCGCCGCTGGGTGTCCCCACGTAGTACACGCAGCACATGGCCTGGGCGGCAGGCAGGCAGGGCAGGACAGTGGGCAGCATGCAGCTGATGGCACGTGTCACAGCAGAGGATGGGCAGGGTGCCAGGGGCTAGGCAGCTGTGAGCCTGGTAGCCTGGGGGCTCGGGGACAGGCCTGTGCACACGTGGGGGGCCGGCCTGCTCAGGGCTCCTGGGGCTCTCTGGAGTCATTGCGTCTCTGGGCTGACTCAGCAGCTCTTGGCGCAGTGAGAGGAAGGAGAAGGCCTCAGGCTCCAGCTCCTCCAAGGGCCCATAGGGCGGGCTGCTGGCCTCTGCTGGCTCCCAGGCCTCGCTCCCTGCCCCCCAGAGTTTGGCGCTCTGCTCCCAGAACAGAGGCCGGTAGGCCAGCTCTGAGCTGGGTGAGTCCAGGCCTGGTGAGGGCCCCCCATACAGGATGGCCTCCTCCGAGCCCTGGTCTTCCTGCGGGTCCAGGTACAGGTCCAGCTGGGCCCGGTACACAGTCGGGGAGCCTCGGGGGGGCAGGGGCGGCGGCTCCTCCTCCTGGGCCAGTCGCTGCTGCAGCCTAGCCACACAGGAGGCCACGTCCGCACTGGCCCGCCGAGCCTGCAGCAGTTCCTCAGCCGGAAGCACGCTGGTGCCCAGCTGCGCCAGCACCTCACTGAGGATCTCGCATTCCAGCCTCAGGGCGAAGCAGCCCAGGGCCACTTGTACCAGCTGGCAGGCGGGGGGCGGGGTGGCCACCATGAGGCGGTGGTTGTCCCCACGCACGTAGCCCATCTTCTGGAAGCTCTGGATGAGGAGGTCCTCCGAGAGTGCACCCTTCAGCACGTGCACATAGCCCCCTGAGAAGGTCTGCAAAGGAGGGGCCAGGTCAGGAGCAGACCCCTCCCATGGACCTGACCCAGCCTCAGCTCCACCCCTGCCCTGGCCAGCTTCAGGGCCCACGTCTTCACTCCAGGCTGTGGCATGGTGCCAGGGGACCAGGCCGTCTGGGCTGTCTGACGCTCCCTCCAGAGCAGCTTTTCAAAAACCTGGATGCTTAGATCCACCCCAGAGACTGACCTCATGGCCGAGGCAGGCCCAGGCATCACAGTTTTTTAAAAACGCATACAGCTCACCTGGGTCAGAATAAACCAAAGAACCCCTATGTTGAGAACTCTCACTGCCCTCTGGCCCCTCCCCTTCTCTCACCTGTGGGTGAGTTAATTTCCATGTACCTGCTGAGTGTCTGGTTATACAGACATAAACACAGGTGCAGAGCTGCCCCTCTGACCCGGCAGCCTGCTAAACACGTCATTCTGAGCTCTGCCTTTCCAGTTTCCGAGAGCACTCCCTGTCAGGACAGAGGCCCAGCCTTCACTGCCCGGCTGAGTACGTTTCCACCACACAGACGGAACAGCTGTGGTTTTGGAGGCTCTAGACGGCGGAGGAGCCAGGAGCACTGCTAGGGTGGTGATCACATCTCTGCCACTCTACAGCTGCATGACTCTGGGACCCAGGGCGGGTTTTTCTGCTTACAGTTTATGACAGCATCTCTGCAGAGGGGTCACTACTGTGTAAGATTGTTCTTAGGGCTGGGCCTTCACCCCTCACCACGGATCTGGAACTGGACTATTCTTGTGTCTGTTTCACAGAGGAAGAGGTGGATTCAGAAAGATAAGGTAACTTGCCCCCAGCAACACAGCCAGGAGGCAGAACCAGACCCCATCCAGGTCTGCCCAATGCTGAAGCCCTGTCCAGCTCTTGGCTCCCCATGAGGCTGGACCCTGCCCTCTGGTCTGAATGGATGAATGAAAGTCCTGGAACCTCAGACCAGCAGGTGTCTTGAGTGGAGCAGTGGGCTCCAGAGCACACCTCCCAGAGAGAGGCTCTGCTGCCATGGCAACCAAGGGAGGCAGCCGCCCACGTGCCCAGTGACACATCACCTTCCTACTCTTCCAAATTAGCTCAGAGCACAAGGCAGCCTGCCCACTCCTGCCAGCCCACAGCTCATGGGAGGTTGGGGGGCCAGGCCAGGGTGGAGGGTGAATTAGGTTCATGTTTAGCCCAGCTACTCTAGGGCATGCAAGGGTATCTCCAGACCCTGCCTACTTCTAGGGGATGCACCCACACCATGTCATCCTCTATAAATGGAGGGTTTAGGGTGACCATGGAAACAAGTCCCTCCTGTACACGTGTCCCAGGATTTCTGTGGTAACTGGGGCCACAAGGCCACTTTGGGGAGGGCAGTGATGTAAACTTTAAGGGACAGGGTACCCCTAGAAGGCAGGCTCCCAGGTGGGTGCCCTCCATCCATCTTGTGTTCAGTCCCAGGAGTACCAAGGGCACTTTTGGCTAAGGGCTGCTCCGACACGCCCAGGACGGGTCAGTTCACTCAGCCCTCTGAAACCTGTGAGGCTCTGAGAACTCCTGAAACTCTCACCCTTGACGGTAGTCACCCTCTTGGCAGCAGGCAGCCTGGGCAGAGGGCCTCCACTCAGCCTGGCGCCCTACCTTGATGGTGGTGAACTCCTTCCTCCAGGGCAGCAGATACAGGTGGACTGCGGCCAACTCCAGCAGCTCAAAGGCGCGGGCCAGGCCGCGCAGCGCGGGGGCCAGGTCAGCGCGGCCCCACAGGCCATCGGTGAGCAGCGCCAGCGCGTCATCCTGCAGCGCCCCGTGCAAGTCGAAGTCTTCCACCAGGATCTGCCAGAGCACGGCGCGCAGTGATGGGTCCCCGCACACGCCCGCGCGGCCGCGCCGCAGTTCTCGCTCCAGGCACAGGCGGTAGTCCTCGGACAGCGAGCTGCTGCCCATCCTGGCGGGCGGAGATAGGGTGTCAGACACTAGGTGCCCCTCCCTGTCCGCTGTGCTCCCCCAGAGCCCAGCCTGCATCCACAGGTTCTCCTCCAGCCTGGCGACCCTGTATCTACAGCACCCCCTTCCCTGGAGACCTGCTGCGCCAGCCGAGTCTCCCCATCCGAGCAGAGACCCCAGATCGTGCTGTGAGTTCCGCAGGCGACCGCGCTACCTATTCATCCCCAGCCGTCCCCCGGCGCCCGCCGCTCAGCTCCGGCCTCTCCAGCAGCAGCGCGCTCCGCCACGGGCCGGCTCCGCCCATCGGCCGGGGCCGCGACGTTCGGGGCGGGGTCTCCTCGGGCACCTACCTCTGGTCTAGTCCAACAGGGGACGGGGCAGGGCCTGGTGACGGCCCGGGAGCACATGCGCCACGCACCTGTACGGCCACCTGTCCCTGCGTCGCCCGTCTCCCCACGGTGCGGAGGACCGGAGGCACACAGCGAGCGCTGGATAAATGGCTCTGTCCCAGCGGCCCGTCCTACGGGGGCGGGCACCGAGATGCTCTCCTGCCGCGGTCTCAGACCTCCGGAGCGGGGCCCTCGGGAGCGCCAGGCCGCCGGGATATAGGTGCCGGGGCCGGCCGCGGGGAGGGGCCACCCTTGGCGGGGCGGGGCGTCTCCAGGCGGGGCGGGGCTACCCATGACGGGGCGGGGCCTTCAGGTTGCCTAACCGGGACTGGCCAGATAAGGGAGGAAGGAGCCGGCCACCCTCTGGCGGGGCCGGGCCAGCGCTCATGGTGGGCACCCGACGTGCGCTTCAGCGTGATATAAAACAGCAACCTAAGGGTGGGTGGGCGACCTTGGAGCCTATTTCTGTGACTCCACTTCCTGGTTTCTGTAGCTCTCACTTCGGTCCCTGAGAGCATCCCGGGTTGGGGGTCTTTGAGGCACGTGAAGGCACCTTCCTGTCTAGGTCACCAGGCACCTGACCTGACGCCGGCCAAGTTGACCAGGGCTGCGGATCACCTAGGCCTATGCAGATGTAATCAAGTTCAGATGGAGTCACACTGGATTCAAGTGGGTCCTAAATCTAACAAAACTGAAGATGTCTTCGTGAGAAGTAAGCTGACACAAGTGGGAGAGGTGGCATTTGAGGCAGCAGGGCCTGCAGGAGCCACCTGAGCCCCCAGACCAGGGCCAGGCAGGAGGGAATTCTGTTCTGGCGATTGGAGGGAGCATAGTCCTATTGACACCTTGCTTTCAAGCTTCAGAGCTTTGAGTCAATTTTTGTTGTTTTAAGCTACGCAGTTTGTTCTCCTTTGTTCCGGCAGCTGTTATAGGACCCACGTGCAGGCCTTACATAGTTGTCCTGACAGCCCTGCCTGAGGTCCTGGCTGACAGCAGACACGTGGACAGATCTTTGGGTGACCCCAACCCCCCAACATTGGGTCACCCCAACTCCAAAGCCGATGGAGCTGATGCTGGGGGTAGAGGCAGAGATGTCCCCACTGCACCCTGCCAAAATGAAAGTTTCATGAGCAAAAGGCTTTTGTGTGTTTAAGCCAGTGAGTGGGGCTGGTTGTTACACAGCAGCAGGGTGGACGCCACACTGCCTCAACTGCAGCTGTGTGCCTGTCCTCCTGCGTCAGAACCTGGTCCCAGGACTGCCCCTGGCTCTCTGGGCCCTCTGTCCAGCCTGCTGCATGCATGCACATGGCCTCCCATCTCCAATACACCATGCTCTGCCCTGTCCAGCATCCTAATTGTCACCAGTTCGGTGCATAAGAAATTCTATCTTGTTGTTTTAATTTGCATTTCTTGATCTTTTAATGACTTCAGACACCTTTTCTTATGCTGATTAGCTTCTTAAATTTCCTTCTCTGAAGACAGCCTCTTCGTAGCTTTTGCTATTTTTCTAAGTGGGGCTGCTGCCTTTTTCTTGTTCATTTGCAGGATTTCACCAAAGTGAAGAACTGATTATTCATCTCTTTCATAGAGGAGCCGTGGGCTGGGAGAGGCCAAAGCAGTGGCCCAGAGTCACACAGCAAGAAGCAGCCTATCTGAGCACAGTGCTGCCAGCAGGTTGCCGAGGAGACAGCCCTCAGAGCTCAGCACCTGCCCAAAGCCAGCAGGTGCTTCCAGGGTCAGGCTTAGCTCCAGACACACCTTCATCCTCCACCTGCCAGATGAAGTGGGGCTTTAAAATCTCATCCTGGAGCAGGGGTGCCACCCTCCTCCTGAGGCTTCATGGCTGCTGGGAGCTTCCTCTGGAGAGGCCAGGGATGGGCACAAGGGCAGGAATTCGGGGACTAAGAACTTTGAGGTCCGGGCAGGGTGAGTGGGAGGGTGCCCGCCTCTCTGTTCCTGTGGTGCCGATGGGCACAGAGGCTCCTGACAGAGTTGGCTGCCCTGGCCCGCTGGGCCCAGGGCCTGCCCTTGGGGTCACATCCCCTGGTACCCACTGGTTTCTGGAGTCAACCTGCTGGGCTCAAACCCAGCTCTGTCACCGTGAGGCAAGGGCTAGAGAAGGCACTTCACCTCCCTGGGCTTGTTTCTTCTTGGGGCCCTGCAGAGGGCCTGGAACCCTGCCCACACAAGACACACAACAAAACCAGCAGTTGCCAGTTCACAAGTCTTTCCCAGGGATCCAAACACGGCTCCCCAGCCCAAACCAGCTTGTGGTGTGGGCCAAACTGCCCGCCTCTGTGGCAGCCTGGGCTGCTGGGGGTCCCACCTTCCCTGGAGAGGCTGCCCATGGCTAGGACCAGGCCACGTGCTGTCTTCTCGCGAGGGGCCCCCCAGTGTGTGCCCCACCTGGAGAACAAAGATGATCCTCAAGAATGCTTCAGGGTGAGTGCTCTGGGTTCCCGTCCTGTCACCTGCTTGGCCCCAGAGACTTGCGTCCTGGCCTAGAGGCTACAGACCCAGGGACCCCACTCCTGTGCAGAGGCTGGGTTTGTGATGGACCCCAGTGGTCTCTGGGACTGTCTGGCTCTTGCTGGTCAGCTGTGGGTGGCTACGCTGCCCAGGCCTCCACCCAGCCAGCAGGGTACGGGGAAGTGACCTGCACGGACAAGGATGTGAGTGACCTCTTTATTTGTAGCTGGGTCAGCGGCTGCCCAGGGGCCTGTAACAGTCAGAGTGGGCAGGCGCTGACTGTTGGGTTCACAGTGACCCAGAAGGGGTAGGGATTGTCCAGGGATCTCAGGATGTCCAGTGTCCACTGCCAAGGGTGGGAGTGTGGCTCAGAACCCCCAGACATGGACAGGTGACCTGGGGACACCTGGGCATCTGGGACAGAGTGGAGTGGTCAGTGCCCAATGAATAAACAGCACAGCCTAAGCCCCCGGGCCCTGGGCCTCTGTGGGGGTGACAGGCTCTCGCCTCCAACAAAAAAGTGGCTCAGGAGACAGAAGGGTAGAGAAACCAGGTCTGCCCTCAGCCGGCAGCCCCTCTGTCCTTGGGTCGGTGGGGCCCTAGAGCATGTGCAGCCCCCGGGGAGTCTGGTTTCCCTGCTGGGGTCTCTCAGAGGCAGGGACAGCAGGGAGGAGGGCCTGGCTCCTGGGAGCTGACTGCTCAGCCACATCCCCTCAGGAGCAGAGGGGCCGTCTTGAGCCCTGAGGGCAGTTGTCAGATGGGGCCAGGAGTCCCAGGAGAGCCTCAGCTCCCGCAGCAGGGGCTCCTGGACAGACCTTGGCAGGCCCGCCCAGGGCCCCCCGGGGCAGCAGCTCCACGTAGCTCAGGGCACTCTGCAGCGACGTCAGGCAGTAGCCCTCTTCTCCAATCAGGTACCTGCATGGAGGCAGGTACGGCACCTGTCATCTGGAGGGGACGCACCCTCACTGGATGCACAGGTCCCACAGAAGGCTGTGAGGGGGCTGGGCTGCGGGTGGCCCACTCCCCGGGCAGACGCTGCTCAGGGGATGGCACCCCAGCCCCTCTCAGCAGTGTGCTAAGTGGGGGTAGGGAGAGGGGGCTGTGGGCTGTGGGCACAGGTGGACCCCCAGCTGGGGAGCGCAAGCCCAGACCCTGCTGGCGTGGTGCTGCCCGGGGCTCCTACCCCTCGTGGATGAACTCCTCCAGGGCCGCGCACTCTGACACCAGCTGGGGGAGGCCGCTTCTCAGGGCCACGAAGGACAGGATGGGCAGCAGGTCGTCGGCACCACTGTTGGGAGAGGGCAGCTGCTCTCCCTGGGCCCCTCAGCCCACTGGCCTCCGGGGCTGGGTATGAACTCTGGTCAGTGTGACTAGAGACCACCTAGGAGCAGCCAGGCCATCCCCAGACAGGGACCCTGCGCTGCAAAGCCCAGGGCGGGGTGGGGAGGCCCCACAGCGAACCTGCCTGAGCCCAGGGGACAGGATGAGGGAGAGGGTGGCCCATGTGCCAGGCAGCCTGCTCCCTCCTGTCAGGTGTCACTCAGCTTGTCACGCCAGGTACTCCAGACCCTCTGCAAGAGGCACCTAAGTGAGCAAGGGAGGCCCTAAGGGACACTCGGAGCCTGGCCCAAGGCCTCACAGCCAGTGGGCTCTGCAGTGAGCACGGAGGCAAAGCATGGGGTTTGAACCGGATGACCAGGGAAGCCTCACATCCCAGGGACTTCTGGGTGGCCTGGCCCCCTCCTCCCCAGGGACCACACACCTGTAGGTATGCTCCCTGGCCCCTGGGATATCCCTGGGAGGAAGCTAGTGTGGGCTGCTGCCAGGACTTGGAAGCACTTTCAGCCCTGGAACCCCATCACTGGCAGCAACTCACTCCACAGCCAGATGGCAACATGGTGAAAGCAGCCGCTGAGAGCCTGGCTGGGTTCCCTGGCCAGACCCTGCAGCTGAGGCCCAGCACCCTGGCCCTGGGGGTGGGGTGGGAGTGGGAGGAGTGCCTCCCTGCTGACCTCACACTCAGCTGAGACTCCCACCTGTCGCACCTGTAGGCCTCTGTGCAGGCAGGCGCCACAGCCTGCCCAGCAGGCTGCAAGGACAGGGGCCTTCCAGGCGACTCCCTCTCTGACCCAGGGGTGGGGTCAGGAGGCAGAGCCCCAGCAGGTGCTAAGAGGACAGCAGCCCGAGTGGTGCCAGGGCTGAGGAAGAAGGCTGCTGGCCACAAGTGGGTCCAGGTAGGACTAAGGTAGGGCCCAGGTGGGGAAGACCTCTGCCCTACCTCAGGAGGGTGGGGCAGGAACCCCAGGGATGGGGACCCAGTGCAGGGAACACTGGGCCTGAGGTGGCTTCCCCCAGGCGTGTGACTGAGGGGAAGCACGCACTTCTGGGACAAGTAGTCCTAAATTTCACCGGATGAGCTAGCTAGGGATGACAACATGCTGCCTGCGGAGGCTGGAGCCCAGGGTCCTTGGTGGAGATGGGTCAGGCGGCCGGCAGAAACCCATGGTCCCAGTGCCTGGGGCAGGGAGGAAGGGAAGGGTTCCCTCTTCCCCCAGGCTTCCAAAGGCAGCCCCCCAGCACCCAGGGCCCACCTGGCTGTGCCCCCTGGGACTCACATGGCGGCAGTGCCGGGCTGGGGTTCAGCCTCCTGGTCCCGGTAGTAGCCTTCAGCGCAGGCACAGATGACCCGCAGGGCCCGCACTGTGGCGCAGAAGTGAGGCTTCGATGAGGGGCTAGGGACCCCATCCCAGGAACATCTCCCAGGCACGGCTCCCACCCACCTCGTGCGCAGGGCTGGGCAGAGCCAGGCTGCGCCCTCCTGGGGGTACTGCTTCCACACCACTCATGCCCCAGAGGACACACCGCCATGGAGCATGAGAAGGGCCCGAGGCCCAGAGGTGAGGGCATAGGCTCCAGGTCACCCTCTGAGACAGGACCCTGTCTTATCTGACCACATCACCCCTTCTCTCCTCCCAGACCATCTCCCCTTACCAATGCACTCCAGCTTCTTCTGGGGGCAGCTCTCCAGAACCAGCAGCCCCAGCTCCTGGGCTGCAGCACAGTAGGGGTAGGCACCAGCTCCTGCGGCCCCGGGGTCCCGTGGGAGGAGCTTGGTGGGGACACCAATGGCTGCCGGGGGGGCATTCCTGTACAGCTCCATGCTCCTGCCAAGGGCAGCCTCCCGGAGACGGTGAAGGCTCCTGGGGCAGAGAGAGGCCAGGCTCAGCTGCCCTGGGACGCTGCCAGGGAGGGAATGGAGGCAGGGCTGGGGAAAGCTGGCCATGCCCCGAGGTGGGCGTGGCACCACCTGCAAACCAGAAACACCTGAGGACCGCCCGGGAGTAAAAAGCACTGGCTGGAAGTACGAAGGTCACCTCGGGGCTGGAGATGGGGGCTGCGAGGCTGCGGCAGTGGGAGGCTGCAGGGTACTGGGGCTGGGCCGCACCTGTAGACGGCCAGCAGCAGGGGCCACAGTGGGGAGAAGAAGGGCTCCTCGATGCAGGCCAGGCAGCGGTCCTTGGAGGCGGCCGTGTTCAGGCCTTCAAAAGCCAGGAGGGTCAGCGCGAGCAGCCTGTCTGCCGAGAGCAGAGCCGGCACAGCGGCACTGTGGGGATGGCTGGGACCTCTGGCCGTGGCTGGCAGTCCCTGGAGGTCACTCCTCCCCAGCTCAGCCAACCTGGGATGCCCAGCCAGACCCCACCTGCCTCTGCCTCCACTCCCCAGGGGCAGCCTCAGTTGGGTGGGCAGAGCCACAGTTAGCTTCTGGGCTCTGTGGGAGGGCTTCGCATGGCCCGGCCTTCCCTCCCCTTCAAACTCCGCAGCCTATGGTCAGAGTAGGGGATCTAGGCCCTCAGCCCCGGGGGCTCACAGGGTCATAACTAACTCCCCCAAGGGGCCAAGGAGACAAGCCTGGTAAGGAGAACAGAAGACAGCCTCTTTCTGAAAAGGGTCTGTACCCCAAACTGTGGGAACCCAGATGAGCTTTAGACACACATTTGAAGACAAGAAATCAGAGGCCCAGGGAGGTGAAGGACCCCCAGGAAGGAGGCGGGACTGGCCCAGGGCCTCCCTCACTGGTCCTGAGAAAACCCTGACAGCCTTCCTCCTTGGAGGGGATGTTGAAGTCACCTGCTGCCCTGGCCCCTGAGGGAACCCACACGCTATTCTCAGGACAGAGATGCTGAGATGAGCCCTTTGTCATCAACAGGTGGCACACACACCGAAGCCCTTAGTCTGGGATGACGTGGGTCCACCCTGAGGCTCTGAGGGCAGACCCTTTCCCAACAGAAGACACGTAGACCAGGCTTGTCTCCTCGAGCAGGCGGTGAAGAGACAGCCAGGGATCGAGGGAGACCCTGGGCCCACAGCCAGACCCAGCTACCCTCCAAGCCCTGGTGCGTCCTGGCCTGCTAAGCAGACCGTGTGGTCCTGAGGAGGGTGGATGGGGAGGGCCCTGCAGGTCAGGGCTGGTCTGCCTGCCACCCAGATGACGGCCCCTTTGCCCTGCCCTGGGCCTACCCCAGGCTGTGCCAAGCTTTTGCTTCAGAGCCAGCGCAGCTCCACCGCCCACCATTGCTGCAGGTGCGCGAGCCTCACCAATGGCGTCGTGTATGTCCTTCACCACGCACTTCAGCTGCTCTGGCAACGGCTCCTTCCTCACCCCTGGGGTCTGGGGCTCAGGCTGCCCCCCAGGGCCCCGGCCCCACCTCTCAGAAGTGGCCAAGAACTGTTCCAGGTCCTCAAAGGAGCTGTCCTTGCCTGGCAGGTGGGATGAGGTGTCCACTAGGGGTGAGGGAGGCCCCAAGGGGCTGCTGTCCACCCCTGTGTCTGGGGAGCCGTGGTAGGGTGGGGGTGTAGCAGGGCTGGGGGCCGGGCCAGGCTCTGGGGAGGAAGGCAGGCAGTAGAGGCTCTGTGAGGGCCGGAGCCGCCGGCTTCCAGGAGTCAGCAGCCCGTCAGCATCAGGGGGCAGGGAACAGCAGCCAGGGGCTGAGGTGGCGCCCCCTGCACCCCTGCTCACGATGGGGTACAGTGCCCGGTACACCGCACACTGGAGCTTCCTCAGGAGCTGCGAGATGGGGTGGTCGGGGACGCTGCGAGCAGAGGAGGTGGCGTGTTAGGGCTGGAGGGGTGGGGTCCCCCTGGTGGGCTCTGACCTGGTCTGAGAAAGCCCATAGCCCTGCGAGGCCCTCACTGGACCCCTGCCCACCTGTAACGTGGCCCTGCCGGGTGGGATTTCAGAGGACTGACTATTTCCCTGTGGGTCAATGTGGCAAATCAGGTCTGCCTGCCCTTGGAGAAGGTAGGAGGCGAGGCCATCAGTGCGAGGGGGCCCCTGGGGGCTAGTGTGGCCCGCTGCCCCTTGCAGTCACCCTCAGACCTCCCCCTGCTCTTTCCTTTTTAGTCCTTTTCTCCGCTGTCAGCCTGCAGCCCGGGGAGGGGCTCAAGGCCCTGGTACCTGAGCAGGTGGGAGACCAGGTTGGTCACCAGTGACAGGTCCCCTGGGCTCTTCTTGAGCTTGGCCCGCCAGTGCTTTGGCCAGTCCTGCAGGACAGGAGATCGTGGAGGAGGACTCGGGGAAGACCCTCCTCCCTCACCAAGGCTGCACCTCAGGGGCCAGCGCCCTTCACTGGTGCCCCAGCGGGAGTGGAGGGAAGGCCCTGCCTGCACTCGCCCCAGACTCACGTGGTCTTGCTCATACTCCAGGATGGCGGCGTAGAGGGCCCGCTGCTCCCGCTCCTCGGGGGTCAGGGCGACCTGACTGCAGAACCTCCTGGGAAGAAGGACGGGTCTGGAGGCCTCAGGGCTGAACAGACAGGTGCAGGAGTCCCCACCTGTCCTGCTGGTGGCTTCTGGGCCCAACAGGAGGACACACACCTGTTGGCAGCCTCCTGGAGCCGCAGCCGGCGTTCTTCCATCTTCCTCTGCAGCTGGGGCAGCCGAGTCAAGGCCCTTTCTTTCTGATTTCTGATGCGGTGTCCCCTACACACGTGCACAGACCTCTGGGATGTCCCGCTGTGCTGGATACAGGGTCGAGCAGGGTGGGTGGGAGGAGGGGCAGGGCCAGAAGATGGGCCCACTCAGGGCAGGAAGGCAAGTCCTGGCTGACTCGAGGGGTGGGGAGGAGCCTGTGGGTGCTGAGAGGGCCAGGGCGGCCTGTGCAAGTGTGGGGAGGGCAGAGACAGCCTGGCTAGGCAGGAATCATCCCGAGGACATGTCTCTCTGAAACTGGAGTTCTCCCACACCCAGACCCTGGCACCCTTACCTGCCCAACCCAGCTGATGGTCACATTATGAATTTCTGCCCCTGAACACCAAGCATGGATGGAAGGATACTGTCTCCTCCCGGGCTCTGGCGATCACTAGGTTCTCCATCATCTGCCGCTGCAGGGACAGGGTCTAGGAGGGAAGGAGGGAATCAGGCCTGCTCCCTCCACCAGCCCAGACCCTCCTGGGCCCTGCTCACCAGGGACGTCTTCTGCATGGCCTGGCTGGGGTCCAGACGGGCCATCCGGGCCTCATATGCAGCCTTCAGCTTCTGATTCTGCAGGGAGGCCTCCTCCAGGGGTGTCAGCTCCCTGGAATGGTGACAAGCTGCTGTCCAGGCTCCAGGAAGCCCAGGAACACTCTGGCCACCTGAGGACCCTTCCTGACCCTGCCCTGAGACCAGAAGGTGAGGAGGTGGTGATGGGGCAGACAGGAGTGTGAAGGAGGGATGCGGTCCAGGGTGGATGGGAGATACCTGCCCGCTGAGACATGACCCTGTTGGCAAGACTTCTGACTTTTCAGCAGAACCTTGACCACAGACCTTTATGCAAGTCAGTTACGTGTGTTTGGTGACAGCGTGAAACTCTGAAGGCACCATGTGGGCCAAACAGCTAGGTTAGTTTGCGACCCATGAAGGGAAAGTCAGGTCTACCAGGTAACAGGCGCTGACAGCGCCCCTCCCCACTGCCCCCATCAGAACTTTCTGTCCCGCACTTTCCTGCTGTCCGGGCGGGAGAAGGTCAGCTGGGGGACACGGGCAGTCCTGGGTCGTGGGGTGGAAGTCTGTGCAGGCAGAGACAAGGTGGAGCAGTGGCCCGAGGCCTGGCAGCAGCAGAGCCTGTCCTCCACTCATCCTGCTGGGATCCTGGCAACTGTGGTCTGGTGTCTTTCGTCTGTTCTGGAAGACTGCCTTAATCTCTTCAAGTAACGCCCCTCTTGTATTTTCTTTCTCATCTTTTTCTGGAATTCTAATGACCTATGTTGGACCTTCCATGTCTTTTTCAAATTTTCTTTTTTTCTTTCCGTGTGTCTTTCTGGGTATCTTTTAATCTTTTATCCAATTCACTAATTGTCTCTTCAGCTGTGTCTGCTCTGCTGTTATAAACTTGTCCACTCCTTTTTGTGTACATGTGTGGATATTTACAGGAGAATATAATCTGTTGTTTTTTTCTAATTAGTTTAAAAATAATTTCATTATTTTTTATTTCTTTTCTGCTTGGTTCTTTATTTGACCCCTAGTATAAATCAGGGTCAGATTTTACAGCTTCTTGTTTCTTGGAGGTATTTCCAAACTTGCCTTTCATTTCTCTAAAATGTAGAGAGCATGATGGTTTCATAACCTGTCCTGTAACTCTATCTGAAGATTAGCAGGTCTGTTTTTGCTACCATTCCTTCACAGTTTCTTGTTTCTTTCTGTGCTTGGTTATCTTTGACTATGTACCATTCATTTTATGACAGCTGAAGGTGATTTTCTCCAAAGACAATCTGAATTTATTTCTGCCAGACACCAGGTATTTCCATCCTGGGACCCATTTTGACTAAATCCACCATGGTCAGCTCACTTTGCCTCCAAACCCAGGCTCAGCCCCCCTTCCATTGTGCCCCATCTTACTTCTTAGAGCTTTGCGACTCTACCACCTGAAGCTTCTGGAAGATCTCAGGTGGCAGAAATGGAGAGAGCTTGCCTCCCTCATCCGAGTACACTCGGCGGTGTCGGCTGGTAGGCGAGGGGGCAGGAGCAGCCACAGGCATGGCTGGCTTCAGGCGTGTTTTCCCTGAAAGAAAATGTAGTTAAGGGTCCACAGGGGGCTCCATGTTGCACAAAGGAGATGCAGACTCGAGGTAGGGGTTACCCCAGGAAACCTTCTGCTGGACACCCACCAAGTCTGGCGGCTGTTGACTGGGCCCTCTCCAGACACTGCTCCGCCAGCTTCAGCATCTTTGACGTGTCCGGGGGTACAGTTTCTGCTTCTGGGGAGCAATGGACAAGACAGTGGTCACATCAACCTATCACTAATCAGATTCTTGCTGCGATAAAAACAAAGGCAAGCCCATCCCCTCCTAACCTCTGACCCCTGGGTGAGCCCACCCCCTTCTCATCTCTGACCATCAGCTCTGGGTTTACCTTCTGGCCCTGGTGTGTGTAGCTGTCCTGTCTGTCCTCTTGGCTGGACCATCAGAGTCTTCTCTCTACCTGCCTGGGCTTTTTATCCTCACTGACACAACTTCACTTGTACTGACAGCCCTGCTCCAGCTGGGCCCTGCCGTCACCATGGCTGTTTCACAGAAACAGCTTTTTCACCCATTTCGTGCCCTCCAGCTGTGTTCACCCAACCCTGGTGCATCGGGGGACTTCTGTTCTGCACCCCCTCCTCTGGGAATCACTCCTGTCAGCGGACTCTCCTGTGGGAACTACACCTGAAACCCTGCCCTGGACGCTGCCAGCCCCTCAGCACACCCTGTCAGCCACCTGATTCCCACTGAGACTGCCCACCCACCCACATCCTGCCTTTCTCTGAAAAGCTCCCTGACCTCTCTCCTCTAGGACAGCTCCCTGGGACTTCCCTCCACCATGCCCTCCTCCCAGTCTTCCATCTTGCGGTGCCCAGAGCTCTGCTGAGCTCCCTGGCTCCCCAGGGCAGCTCTCCCTCTGGCGATGCCCACCTCACCCTGTCCCCTGTTGGGCTGCTGGACATCTTGAGCAGAATGTGCTCATGACAGACATCTCAGCTCCTGCACCTCCCACCCCACCAGACTGTCCACTGTCCCCTGAGAACGTCCGGTGAGGCCCATCTTCACAGTACACCTCCCAGACCCCTCCCTCCTTCCCACTCCAGGCGGTCCCACCACTGCGGTCCTTCTGTGGGAGCTTCCTGGAGGCTGTGCTTCCAGGCTGGCCTCTCCCCACAAAGCCTCCACGAGCTTCCCCTCAACCGGACAACCCTAATCCCCCCATGGCCCTGCCTGCTGACTGCACTTTCTCCTCCAGTTGGCCCCCTCCCTGTATCTGGCACCCACCCTCCTCTCAGGGCCTCTGCACGTCTGTCTGCTGGGAATGCTGCCCCCAGCCCCCAACCTGTGTGCAGCTCATTCCTCCCTGAGCTGGGGTTCAACATCCAGTCTCGGGTCTCTGCTTGACCACCTCTATCCCCTTAGGCACAGCACCCGTCCCTTCCTGCTCCACATCACATTTATGCTTCCTGAGTGCTCAGCCATTCACCTTCTGCTAATGACCAGGTGGAGAGGACACAGGACACCCCCAGGCCTGGGACCCATCAAAGGCTAAGCTGTCCACAGTCTGCCCAGCACGGGAGGAGCTGCAAGGCTGGACGCTGTACCTCTGGGGGTCGCCATGTCTTCCAGCAGCGCCTGGGAGATGTAGTGAACGGTCCTCAGGTACTCTCTGTATGCCTCCTGTGCCAGGGAAGAGAAATGGCAGGGGTCAGGCTGGAAGAGGCAAACAGTCCATCGTGCACACTTGGTGCCCTCGTGGTGCCTGCTTATCTCAGATCCACCTGCTACAGCCAGACTGGCTAGCTGGTAACCAGCTGGGGCACAGAGAGCACCCCTCTTCCCTAGACCTGAAGCCAGCATCACTGCTTTTTTTTTTCCAGTGCAGAAAGGAACTGAGGTTCTCATTCAGTGCGCCAGGCAAACCAGCCTTGGCAGTAACTGCTGTTTTTCAGTCTGTGCAACAAGTTTCTGTCCTCTGCAACTCAGGGGCCATTCATTTGGTTGCTTAAATATATATATATATATATATATATATATTTTTTTTTTTTTCTGGAGGTTAATGAGGGAGTGACGTTGCAACTCTTAGAATCACTTTCTGGCTTGGGTCCTGGAAAATCCCTTTCCTGGACCCCAGAATAAGTACTCCCTGGGCATGCAAGAGTCTATAAAACACGAGGATATTGGCACTTTCAAGGGTGTGAGCATTCTGTTCAGGGCTCCCTTCCAGAGCTCAGGGCATTTCGAACCACAGCATGGTGCTTTGTTTTTTGTTTGTTTTGTTGCATCCCAGTTCTCAAATTACCCACCTTTAAGTCTACATCTCAGGGATAAGGATAAAATGGATTCCGGGAAGGATTTCTGACTTGTAGGGGCACTTGCTGCCCTAGAAAACCAATTTGGGGAAAGCAGCGAATGGAAGACCAGGATGCCTTTCTTAGGCCCCCGCGGCCTCCTCCCCTCCTTGGGCTCCCCAGTGTGGCTCGGCCGGCTTTTCCACGCGGTCACCACCCTTCGGATTAACACCCGTTCCGGTGACAAGCCACACCCCTCCCCCGCCGGCATTTTCCTTCCAAACAAGCTCTGAAGGCGACTGGAAAGGCGCAGTTAACCTCTTATGAATTCCTTCCCCTTTGGAGATCTGGCTAAATCTGCAGGGTCCGCCCCCAAAGTCACACACACGGAGTTGTCGGCCGGATAACCTTTGGAGGGCCGCTTCACGGACCCTTTGGAATCCCCTTCACAAATGAAAACGCCTCGC